TATCATATAATAACGTATATTTTATACAAATATACGTTGTTATATGATATCTATGGAAACAATAGTGCCCGCCTGGGCGGGCACTATTGCTTGCGCGACGCATTGTTATTCATGTTATTGCATTTATGCATTGTTATTTGCATTGTTCGAATTAAATTTCCCCTACCTGTAGCAGTTTTTCTGAGTCATCGACAGGTGGCGAGACCAGCGTTGTTATCAGTCAGACGACAAGGACAACAACATGGAGCGCTCCAGATTTTTTTATTCACTTTATATTTGCCGAGTAGATTGCAAAGTCATGTGATGCACTAAAAACATTAATGCCTGTTGTTGGGGGCACTATGCTCTCATAGTGTTGCTTTGGGAAAGAATAGTGCCCTCGCTACCGCTTGGGCACTATACCTTCCCTCAGCAACACTATGACTATGAGAGCATAGTGCCCCCAACAACAGGCATTAATATATAATTATTTTTACAACCTTGGAACCCTAGATAAACGTTCAGTATTGGTTTGTAATAGGTGTGCAGCTAACGCATGTTTATAACTACATAAAAACGTTAAATAATGGTTAGTGTGACGTTCATGACTAACGTTTGTTCATGGTTACGACAAAGTTAATAAATAACGTTTATTTTTACCACCTCGGAACCCTAGATAAACGTTCAGTACTGGTTTGTAATAGGTGTGCAGGTAACGTTTGTTTCTAACCATTTGGCAACTATATAAAAACGTTAAATGATGGTTAGTGCAACGTTTATCGCTAACGTTTGTAGTAAACCATTTCGAAACCATAACAAAACGTTAAATGGTGGTTGACACAACGTTTGGGGCAAACGTTTGTCAATAACCTATATATAACTTTATTTATAACGTTTAATAAACGTTCTTAGACGGTTTAATTCAAACCAAACCAAAATAAAACCAGATCATAACGTTAGGAAAACGTTATGTGTTAGCTGGGTGTTTGGCATTACTCATACATATTGTACTGTACCGGTACATCACTTGGTGTCTTGAAAACTTGTGTATTAGAATTTCTGTACTTTACTACCATTCCGAAATCCAAAAAATTCTGAATGCCGAATTAACGTGTCTGGTCCCAAGGGTTTCAGATAATAGATTGTGTACTGTATTAAAGTGATTACATCACCGTAAATAGTAAAAGTAAAAAAAATTATGCCCACTTTTACACAAAATGTAAGTGATTCTGTTCACTTGTTATGGTTAAATTGCTGCATTATACTTCTTATTTTGCTACTCTGTTCGATGTGAACAAACCCTCGTGACTCGTACATAGCCCATAGCAAGCATTTAATGTAAGTCCCGCGGAAGTGCGCGGCTTAACCGCTTTCGGCGGTCGGGGAACAACGCATCTTTTGCGCAACGCCATCTTGTACCCGGTCTCTTCTGGTTTATTTTATGTACTTATGGTGGGGCGGTGTAGATTGCCCAAGTCAAGGCGTGTTGCCAGTCGTTCAAATATTAATAGACCATGTAGCTCTATGACTCTAGCCCGCGTATAGTTGCTTCAGGCCAGGGATTATTATTTACTTCTGATAAAAGTGAGGAGAAGGATGGTGATCAAGCGATATAGGTGCATGTCTTAATTGATCTTGATCTTGATGTTGGTACTGCGTCGACCGCGTGTGCGCGTATTATGACGCAGGCACCGCCATTTTACGTGGTTATCCGAGCCACGGGAGATTCACTGTCCCCAATGTTGCGAGCCAGGTTTTTACACCTTGCGAAAATTCACTGCCTTCATGTATCTATAGGAGGAGGAGAATGGGGAGATCGAGCTGCATATGGTGGCGGTAGGAGAGGTGTAGCAGAGGGAGGAAGAATTAGATGGGGAAGCTGTGTTCCCTATAGCTTTTCCCCACCGCATCTACCTCCCCAGTTTCTTTTTCCGCCTCCTCTATCATTCCATCCACCTACCTTCTCCACTTCCTCCTCCTGCTCCAAATCCCCTTTTTCGACCTTCCCTATATCTCTAACTCCTCCTCCTCCCCCTCCTCCCCCTCCTCCCCTCGTTCACCTAGCTCGATCTCCATTACCCCCATTCTTCCTCCCCCTTTTATGTTCACGCGGCTGCCGAGTATATATAGCCGTCAATTCCAACAAATCTAGTAACGACTTTTTGATTAAAAAAAACTATAATAATTATAGTATCCTAGAGTTATAACTTTTATTCCACGCAGATATGTTAGTGCAAGTTTATGCATGGCTAACGTTTATTCATGGTTGGCACAAAGTTAATGAGTATAACGTTTATTTTTACAACCTCCAAACAGTACCTAAACTTTCAGTACTAGTTTCTAATAGGTGCATATATATGTGCAGGAAACGTTTGTTTCTAACCACATAAAAACGTTAATTGATGGTTAGTTCATATGGCTAACGTTTGTTAATGGTTACAACAAAGTTTATTAATATAACGATTAGTGCATCACGTGATAAATCGTTGAAATTCCATTGGATAACGTCGCAGGTACTATGAAACAATAGTGCCCTCTTGCGCGACGCATTGTTATTCATGTTATTGCATTTATGCATTGTTATTTGCATTGTTCGAATTAAATTTCAAAATTCTAATTCAATTTCCCCTACCTGTAGCAGTTTTCCTGAGTCATCGACAGGTGGCGAGACCAGCGTTGTTATCAGTCAGACGACAAGGACAACAACATGGAGCGCTCCAGATTTTTTTATTCACTTTTTATTTGCCGAGTAGATTGCAAAGTCATGTGATGCACTAAAAACATTAATGCCTGTTGTTGGGGGCACTATGCTCTCATAGTGTTGCTTTGGGAAAGTATAGTGCCCAAGCGGCAGCGAGGGCACTATTCTTT